AACTTCAGCGATACAAGTCCTTTCTTTAAATAAAACTAGTTTATTCTTTCTCAATACAACTTTGCAATACACAGAATTTCCACAGTCACTTTACCTTAAACAGACGCTACAATTCACGCACTTTACTTACGGTCACTACCGCTCGCTTGACTCAATTATCTGTCTCTATATCTCTCTATCTGCTATCTATCTCCGCTTTATTTGCCAGGCTTATATACAATAAAAGAGGGTGCCTAGAAAAGACTAGAGTTGCCAGGAACAGTCAAGATCCTTCGAGAATCTCATGACGTGTTACCAGCGTCATGTGACTTCTGCTGTCATAACAATAATAAAGAAGAACAAATGGGTGATCCCTATTATGAACCACTACCATGATTAAGGACTAAATGGATTATTCTTATTCTTAGTTACTTGCAATAGTAGATTTGTACATATACAAGCAATCTCTGTCATCTTCTGAGCAATTTAAGATGTTTTTTGTTTGAGTATCTTAACTAAGTTTTTGTTTAATGCTGTATATTTAAGATCAAACACAAGAATTTGCATCAACTATTCTTTAAAGAACAATTAAAAAATAAAGAAATTGGATAAAATTCTATCATTACAGGTTTATAAATCATCATTTCATAAAATTCAGATTTAGAATCATTATTTACAATTGTATACAGTGTATTTCTTTATTCTTTTCAAAAAGCATCTGTTACATTATTTATATTGAAAGAAACCAGCAGTTTGAACCAAACACCAATCAATATTGGATTTAACACTAAATAGTACTTGAAGTTCCATACATTTATATCTTCTTCAACTTCAGACTTAAATTCCATTTCACAAATCAAAAACAAGCATTATGTCATTACCACTATAAGACTACAAAGATATAAATAATGAAGGAAACTGTTACACTAATAATAATATGCACTATTTTGTTTTCATATATAAAAACTCTATCATATCCCATTTGCTTGAAAACAATGAGGCTACTTACGACAACCAACTTCATCAGATCCATCAACACAGTCGTACTTTCTGTCACACCTCAATGAACTAGATACACATAATCCATCTCCACAACGGAACTCATCTCCAGAACATTCTTGTACTGAAATAGAATAAAGTAGTTATTTTTCAAATTATTGTAACAAACAAAGTATTCTAAGTATGTCACTATTTCAATACTGAACAAGTAACTAAAACAACGAAATTGGAACATAATTAGCATATACATAGTAGAAGGATCTCCCTTTAAAACCTGTAAGTTATTTAGGATTTCATTGTTCTTGTACTCCCTGTGGCTTACTACTAGCACATATTAAAAATAAAATTCCACACACTGCTTCTACTATACAAGGAAAATGTGTATAATGAAGGACATGGGAAAAGGTGGTGTTAGGTTACATGCTGGTGATAACTGGTGCAACCCACTGTTCTCATTAAATTATTATTATTACAATTATTAACATTACCAAGGAATTTCATTAGGTTTATTTACATAAATCAACTTTCAACCAATTAGTATTGCTGTAGAGTACTAGAATTCAGTGTTTTAACCAATTATCTCAATTTATTGAAATTAAAGGATGGGCAGTCATTGTTTATTCGACCTATCATTGATCATATCATATCAAATGCTCATGTGAGGGACAGCACTTACTGTACAAATATGCTAGCAGCTGGTTTTTCTATGATAACTGTGCTGGATGGCATACGCAGTAAATCTATGTAACATCCGTAAACACAGTAGACTATAAAGAATTAATTGTTTCCCTATGTCAATACATTTCTCTTATAAACAAACCATAAAACTGCCTGTACATTTCTATTTACTATAGAAAGACTAAACATTTCATATGAAAATTATTTCAATTTAATTTAATTAGAGAATAAACCTTAAAAACTATGTATTATTAGTGCTTCTCTGTCATGTACATTATTTACTGGTTGCACTATTTGGAATTTGTGGTTGATTGTTTGGTTTTTGGGGTTTATTGGCTCAAAACAGCATGGCTATCTGTACCAAACCATTAGTGTAAAAGTAAAAACAAAAGTTTTTTTCTCCATAAAAAGTAAACAGAAAAAGTTAAAAGCTAAACAATGTCCAAAAGGATGATAAAAAATTCCAATAGATGTAAAGAGGCCAATGGCCCATAAAAAGCTAAAAATATGATCAAGTTGGACAGTGTTACCATTGCCTATACCACTGTCCAATGTCAGAGGTAAACCCTTAGATAACACTTATCTGAAATGGTGCTGCCATTGACGTTTGTAACAGTGGCACAAAAGTAAAATGTAGGCAATGGTTATCGGAGTGTCACAAATACCACACATTAGTGGATCAGTCCCCCATAAAAGAAAATGATAAGGACAAAAACTGTAACCAGTGCATAGCCAACACAAAACAACTTTATCACATCGATCCTTTCGGAAACTAGATGGCCAAAAAAACAACAGTAGGTTTGATCTAGAAAAGCTTATTATGAAGTTACTCACTCCAACTCAACTGCCAACTGGTGCAAAGCCATGCCTTGATCACAGACAAGGCTGTGACAGTGCCAGAGCAAACAGACTTAGTTGTGGTTAGCAAGCTTATTCCCACGATTACCGACCTGGCCAGGTATCCATTAAAACTGGATAGAAATGGCAGAGCCCATAGAATCATCTGATTTCAAATCATCTGTAAAAGTGGGAACAGAAAAATGGTTTGAAAGATGTTCAAAGAGAAGACTGTACTTCCAATCGAGAGTATCCACCTTCCTCAGATGACTCAAAGAAAGGTTACAGGTGGGGAATGGTAAATGAGCCATGGTGGGATGAGCCGATCAGACTCAGCAATGTTATCCAATGACAGACCTAATTTAGCCAGCTGTGCCTGGATACAAAGGCCAAAAGGAGGAATGGCAAATTATCTATTTTGAAAGAGCACAGCCCACCAAGGAAGGAAGACAACCCTAGGTAGGATGTAGTGGTAAGGATCAAAACTTTGTAGCATATGGTAAAGAATATTGCAAATGGCAGATGTGAAAAATAGGTTCATGGGACTCAGTGGCGAAGTGTGGTGAGCCTCCATGCAGAGCTGTAGCCCCAGGTGGTGAACAAGGTCTAACATCTTCGAGGCAGATGGTCTGGCAGAACCATAAACCCATAGTCCAGCTTGGAATGTATGAGGGCATGATAGATCTTCAACATAGAACATCGATCCACTCCCCAAGAGGTGGAAGAGGACATGGAGGATGTTCAGTACCCTGTACACTTGACACAAAACTGCTTGACTTAAGAAATGAAAGTAAGCTTACAGTCAAAGATAAGCCCCAAGATCTTTGCCTCAAAGAAAAACAACAACACTAAGACGGAGCTCAGGATTGGGGTGCAAATGGTTTTAGAGGAAGAGAAGGTAAAACTGTTTGCTTTGGTCCACTTCAAAAAGTGAGTGAGGGCAGTCTCAAACCGCTTCTCAATAAACCTCAGGTTCAATGACCGATAAGAAATGTGGAAGTCATCAACATAGAGAACGTTTGCAACAGTAGGAGAAATTTTTTTAGTAACAGCATTGATCTTGATATTGTAAAGGGTGACAATCAAGACAAAACCTTGAGGGAATCTAAGTACCTGTGTGAAAGAACAGGAAAGGGTCGAACCCACACAGACTTGGAATTGCCCATCAAGTAAAAAGTTAAGAAAAATAGGCCATGTAACCCATATGATCAAAGAAGACAAAAATAAGAAGCTTTCTCTTCAGGAAGACTTCCCTGATCGAGTTTTTGAAATGAATCAGGTGGTCCAGTCCATGGTGGTGCATTGTTGATGAAAACCATATGGGGTGGGTGAGAAGAGGTTGTTTGATTCAAGGAACCAAACAAGACATGCATTAACCATCCTCCCCAAGACCTTATAGAGACAGCTAGTCAAAGCAATTGGATGATAATTAGGAATCTTGGGATCCTTTCCAGGCTTTGAGAAAGAAGAATAATGGTTCTGCTCCAAGCATCTGGAAAACATTTTCCTACCAGATCCAGTTAAAAACAACCAGAAGAAGAGCAAGAGAGGCATTAGAGAAATGGTGCAGCATCTCAGTGAATGTTATCAGGTCTGACTGACGTACTGTCAGATCGATTAAGAGCAAGATTAAGTTCCACCAGTGTAAATGGGTGATTATAATCATAGAGACGATCTGCCCAAAAGGAAAGAGCTCTCAGCCCGGGACCAAGACAATGACAAAGAAGGTGGGAGAAGAAATAGAAGTGCTGGAAAGATAAGCAAAGCTTTCTCAGAGAGTATTAGCGATATTCTGTATATCAGAAACTTTCTGGCCACTGGAGAGCAAAATGAAAAGGGGGGATGGGAAGCATTACCTCCCATTAACCTTCTGAATCTTGTCCCATACAATTTTAGAGCTGGTGGTAGAAGAGATGCTGGTGGTGAATTTAATCTGAGCTTCCTTCTGGCTTTGATGACTGACCTGCTAAGCAAGGGCATGGGCTCGCTGGAAAGCAATGAAGTTGGAAAGAGTGGGATACCTGCAAAAGGTATCCCAGGCCCATTTCTGAGCCTTCCATGCCACCATGGATGAGAATACCGTGGAAAATGTGTCAAGGTTTTAGGGATAGAACGAACAGCTGCTTGAATTATACAATCAGTTACTGCCTCTACGTAGTCATCAATAGATGGAAGACTAATGATAGCAAGATCACATACCAAGAGAATAGTGAATGAGAGCCAATAAGCTTGCTCCATTCTATCATGGTACTTTGGTCGGGTGGCATTGACTATGGTCAATCTCCCTCAAAATGATGGGAAAATTATCACTGCCCCATGAGTCACTGTCAATCTTCAAAAAAAAAGAAAAGTGAAGGGGAACAGACAGATCGATCAATAGCAGTAAAGACTGACTAGGCATGTGAAAATAGGTAAATGAACCAGTACTGAAAAGAGAAAGGTTGTGATCTGAGAGCATATGCTCCACAGAACGACCTCTCCCATCAATATCAGCACCACCCCAAAGCAGACTGTCTATTAAAGTATCCCATGATTACAAAGGGAGATGGCAACTGTTCTATGTGAGCATCAAGGTCTGTTTGATCGTAAGTCTCTTCAGGAGACAGGAAGAGAGAACAAACAGTGATGGTATGACCCAAGGAAACATGGATGGCTAAGCCTCCTAGGGTGTATAGAGTGGCACAGACAAGGTGGGCAAGTGCCGGTCGACCAGTAATGCCACCCCTCCGTGCACTCATCCATCATACAACCTGTCCTTCTGGTATAAAAAAACTGCCAAAAGGTGCTAGTATTTCCAGGTTTCAGGAATGTTTACAGTAAGGAGAAAGACACAAGATGATAGGAATCAATCAAGGCCTTAATGTCATCTAAATTAGAAAGAAAATCTCGACAGTTCCATTGTATCAAAGTGGCCATTTTCATTTAGGTGAAAAAGAACTGAGCATAAAACCCTTGTGTTTGTGACCATGACATTTTCCTTTTGTAGAAAGAGGTCTATCAACCTCCATGGAACCTACCCTGGGTTGATTGGGCAGATCTCTGACAGTAGAAGGAGACTTCAGTGACTGAGAGCATGACCAAATAATGGTTCTACATCTTGGGGCCCAAAGGAGATGGACCCAAGCAGTCACTAGAAGAAATAGTGGGGACAGAGACATGAGCAGACATAGACTTGTCAACTTGTGCAATCATGGAAGGCAAGACTCTTTACATGTTGTGATAAAGACTCTAATGGAGGAACAGAAAGATCTGTCTGCACTCCTACTGAGGCAGTGGAACGAAAAGCAGCAGAATATGTCCAAGATGGAATAAGGGATAATAACTTCCATGCCTCATGGTAAGAAATGTTGTTTACAGTACATAAACATTGTACCTCTTTTCTCCACCAACTTAGGGCAAGATCGAAAGTAAGAGGAGTGGGAACCACCACAATTGATGCATGAGGCTCCAGATGACACTTGAAGGCATCATGTTCTTTGCCACCACAATGAGCACATGTCAAAGAACCACAACAAGATGCCTTTGAATGTCCGATTCACTGACACCAGAAATATCTTAGAGGGTTAAAAATACAAGTTTGTACTTCACAGTTCAGATAACCTGCCTTGACAGTGGCAGGGAGATGTGGCAATGTAAATGTCAATACAAAAAATTTGGTGGGCAGCATAATTCCTTCTTTACAAGTGGAGATATGTAACACAATAGAAACACCATGGCTGAAAAAACTGGTGAGGATCTCAGACTCAGGGATGTTTTGTAAAACTCTCTGAACAATCACTCCACGGGAGGAATTCAAAGTAGCATGGGAAGTAACCTCAATAGGTACATCCCAAATGGCCTTCAAAATCAGGAGGAGTTCAGTGTGTTTTGGTGTAGATGTTTCCACCAACATAGCTTCCCCAGAACATAGGTTCTTCACTGACTTTGGAGAGCCAGCAAGCCCCTCTAATCTCTTTTCAATAAAAAAAAGGGAAATATTTGTGCTAATGGTTTGTCAGATAAAAAATGCAGGATGAAAAAATGGGGTATAGGTGTAGATTGGAGTGGTGACTGATGTTCAAAGTCTTCCAAATGTGGTCACTTTTCTATCAATGTGTTTTTTTTTGGGGGGGGGGGGAATCACTGGGTGCAGGATCCATACAAAATTAAGAAACTTCAGTGCCCACTGACCCCACCCACCAGGAAGTCCTACAAGGGGATGTACTACACTCTCAAACCAGACAGTGCAGCTATGCCAGGGTTTCATGGCACTACACCCAAACACCAGTATCAAAAACAATGTCCACAACACCGACCGAGAACGTACAAATCTGGTATTTGGTTGAACCTAGCCCAACAGGACCAACCGGTTGACCCTGTATGTATGTTAATTTATATACATTTCGTTTCAGCGATTTTCTTTGCCCATTCAAGCAGTTACTGAAACTGATATGGCCTAATGCAACCAAGGCCTAAGAAAGCAGTTTTGTCTGTGAAATGAAACTTCATACAGTCTAGTACCTTGTTTGACAAAAATACTTCTTTTTCTTATCTTAATATAACATCATAATTCAAATGAAGTAGAAAATGATAAAGCAAGTATTCTTGCAGCTTAAAAAAGTCTAATTGTAGAAGTTGTGCAAAAACATTTTCTTTCAAAACACATTCAGATCAGTATCCTTTGATTTCTCAAAGGCAAATATAAGCAATTATATCACACTATGACAATAAACAATCAATAACACTACACTAATTATTCAAGTTACAAAGTTAATTTAGTGCTATTTTTGTTCAAAACTATAACAACATTCCTCAGAAGGGATTACATCCCACGTTATGCTTAGAAAAATTCAAGATATTCACAAACACTAATGATTTCGTAAAAGAGGCACTGAAACTAGCCATAAATCAAATTGTGATTTTTTTCTTGTTTATTTTCTATGTATAAAATTAAATATATATAAACAATTTATTGAATAAAGTTCAACAATGAAGAATGTTAATTTTTCTAATGTATAAATTAATGTATTAATTAATGTATAAATGGCAACAGTTATCTTTTTGAAGTTTACTTCTGAGGTAGACAGCATGCACACAGGAATGAAACAGCTAATAATGTCCACAATCTCCAAGTTTTTCCATATAATCTTAGAATTGTAGTTCACCTTAGTAGATATAGCTTTGATATCATTAAAATAATCTGTAGCTATACACTAAACTTGAATAATATCCATTAACACATACACAACAACAATGAGGAATATATTTATTCATATATGATGTTAAAGTAAATTGTTTATGAAAGAGTAAGTAGAAAACCTTTGTTTCAAATATATGAAGATCTACTTACAACAATCAACTTCATCTGCTCCGTCAGCACAATCATACTTTCTGTCACATCTTAACGTACTAGATATACATGATCCATCTCCACATCGGAACTCATCTCTGGAGCATTCTTGTGCTGAAAAAAAAAAAAAATATGTACATTATCATATTAATAATGAAAATAAGCTTTCACATATACTTAACATAATTGTAAAAAACAACAACAAAAACACCCTCATACGCATAAAAAAAAATGGAAGTTCTCAAAGATG